GACATAAACAGCCTTCTTCCCCAAAACTGTTGAAATCCAACCTACCCCATTCTAAAGCTTGGTTTAAAATAGCCTTCCTCAACAAACCCCTAGCAAAAATAGAAATCCTTAAGTAGTACACATTATTAAAGATTTAACAAAATGTGTATGTGTGCTTTAAGAATCAAGGTTTTATTTATTTCCACAAATACTAAAATAGTAATATTTACAGAAACATAAGACTACAGATATCATAAGTTATACACATATAATGTTTTGCTATTTTTATTATAAGTAAAATTTTAATTTTGTTCATTAAAGTTTACTGTGATTTTACCGTGAAAGAAATCTTTTTCAGACTAAGACATTCAAAATGAATCAACATATTAAATCTCATAGTCAACATATTGGATTAGCCAAAAAGTTAGTTCGGTTTTAAGTAAAAATAAAAGACACATTTACTGAACAACGTATTCACTAACCAAACAAACTTTTTTGGCCACCTCAATATATAACAGCTCCAACAGTAATATCTTATTTTGCAGGACAAAAAAAAAAAAGAGGAGGATGGGAGTAATTGACACAATCCCCCTGATTTCACAATCTACCAATTTTTAAAGACAATTTTAATGAAATAAATGTTTCTAATTTTTTACCATGTAGGATACTTTAACAGATTTTTACTTCTATGGAACAGTAGGGGGAAAAAATTACAGAGAAACAAAAACTGAGTGCTGGTCCTTGCTACGCCATGAAGAGCTTTGTTAAACCAAGTAAATCACTGAGTTTCCCTCACCCTCAGTTTTATTACCTTTAAACTGAGGTGGGAAAAGTGCTCTTCAAATACCTTCTATTTTAGTCCCTAAAATTCTAGAACTTTTTCCTTCAAAGAACGAGAGCATAAAAATCAGTGTCATATAGACAAGCTTCTATTAAACTAGTATTGCTTCTAAATTAGACTAACTTATTAATAAACAACTTGAACTACATACAGCTTTCAAAGTGTTAATTTAAAATGTTGAAGATTCAGAACTTTGAAAGAATATTTAC